GGCATACCGTGCCCTTGACAGGTACTCAGACATGTATAGTATCTGGATACTATGTCTCAGTTTCAAAAGTGGAAGAATGCCTTGGATTTGACTTTGTCCAGTTGGCATTCATATTCCCTATGAATGACAATTGAAAGCAGTTCAATACTTATGTTTACCATTTTTGGAATTTGTCTCATAAACAATTCCATTACACTTATCATTATTCAGCATTTAGTTCAAATAATGTATGTATCGTGTATGGTTGTTCAATGAAAAGAACAGCAGTCGCCCGGGGAGTATCCAACGAAACAATTATGACGTCAAAATAATGATGACGTCAAAACTCGGTCCATGGCATTTATAGCCTATATGAATGCCAACTGAATTTGGTAGGGTTAGATAGTGGCAATGCCATTTGATGGTTTATATATATAGATATGAACGTTATGTCCTTGCAACATGCGTAAATCATAACTAATGTCTATCAAAGCCTGTCTTGTAAATGTGCATAAGGTTAATAGTTGTTTAGTTCGTTTACTATCGATAGCATTGTGACTTTGATCTACATTCTAGCCAGGTATACAACTGGATACACGATATGAATGTTACGCTTTTAGTTTACAGGTACAATGCTATAACGTTATCTTTTATCTGCAGACGTCCTAGACATTCTTCTGTAATCGTGAACGAAGCAAATGCTATGGTCGGAAAGGCAGATTTCAATGTGTTATGGAACAACTGTGAACACTTAACTTCCTTTCTGAGATACGGCGAGGGATCCTCTAACCAGGTGAAGTGTAGCTGAACATAATTATGCTGACAATTTTTTCCCCCGAGATTTTCCAATCTTCTGCATATATAGTTAACAACATCTATTGCGAATTATTGTTCTAAACTGCATCATTGTCCTTCTTTCAACGTTGAACAAAATCTCGTTTTCAATGAACAAAATTATTTCAGACTAATTTAATGAATGAACCATTGACATGCTATCAGTTTGCATTCATGGTCAATATTAATGCAGTTGAATGCTTCTATTTAGCCGTTTCTGAATGAACTTCCAGGAAGGCTCAGCGGTATCCAACGTAACAATTATGACGTTATAAGAATGGTTTCGCCAATAATGAAATATAGTCATGGCCATGACATTCATGCCTGATATAAATGCAATTAGAATTCGGTAAGGTTATATAATGGCAATGTCATACAATGGTAAATATTGTGTCTTGTATCGCTGGGTAGCTTCATACATCTTAGGAATCGTTCGTAATAAGAGGATTGCTTATCCGAGATGATCTCTCAAACAGGTTCAATTGCATTTTAAAACTAATTGCTGAATAGGCAAACACATTGCGCATCCGCCTGAATTATTAGAGTGAAATTGAAAAGAAGTTTAGATCCTTTTTTTGACGGATGACTTTTGACTTTAGAATAGTTTCGTTACTATTAAGACGGCTGATGTTAAATTATGTAAGTCCACGCCTAATTCAAATGCAGAAATCGACTTGATACTAATTTTCTGGGTAATTTATTTTAAAGATGTAAGTGTCTCGACCTCAACACCATTCGACTTTTTGCTTGAAAAAATAAAATAGCTGTTTGGGGATGTTCGCTAATATTTGTTTTCAATTATAGTTTTTGAAAGACATTATGATTTATGCTATAAGCCTACCATTCAGCAGTTAACGGTTTCAGACCCTTTCTTCATAGTGATTCATATTGTCCTTGATTTATTCTGATGTCTGTCTTGATTTTGACATATTTTCATTTCGATTTTTTACTACGGTTTCGAGTTTTTGAAACGTCGTCCTTGAATATATGTTGTTTCCTCACCAATAACACTAGAAAAGAGGGTCATGGTAGCAGACACCAAAATANGGTTTTTTTTTTTTTTTTTTTTTTTTTTTATATATTTGTTTTTTTCTCAAATGTTCTGTTTCGGTGTGACATGTTACAATGGGTTCTTTTATTGATATCGACATGTTAGAATAGTTTATTTACACACATTGGTGCAATGCTATATTATGATCTTGCATATAACACTGTAGCATAATACGTACTTATATGTTAACGCTGTGGTTAATATCGCTAGATTATGTTTTACTTTCAGGGAACTATCGCAGCAGTGGTGATAGGAGGCACTGCTGTAGTTGTAGGTGGTTTTCTAGATGGAGTAGTGGCGGGCGCTTTGTATCTCAGCATGAAGAGGAACAGAGACAAACAACATAAATGAAATATTTATGATAATAAATATGTTTGAAGATTTGAAGATAGGTTTCGCCTATGTTGTAAGCTTAAATGCAAAACTGCTGAATGAAACAAAGCACGTGGAGTTCGAAAGGTTGATTCCCACCTATTTTCAATATTTTAAAAGTATCATTTTCTATAATCAAGCTTTTCTGCTTACAGAAATTAAATAGTGCAAGGAGATTACTAGTGTTACATAAGAATCTCATTTGTTTTAAATCTAAAAGAAAGTAAATAAATAACAAAAGAAATATACTACCTAGATTTGTTTCATGCCATATATGAAATGAATAACCACTCTAAAAGAGACCTCTAATTTTACATTATAATAATAATAATAATATACAACATTTGATATAGCGCCCTATCTAGCTAAAATAAGCCAATTTAAAGCGATTTACAGTACATATATATGCAATTATTATAATAAGCATATACATTAATCAATACAGTTTTGAGGAATTCACAGGAGCTGCCTTATCAGGCGCTAACTACTAGTCCTATGCCACCTGGCTAATATCTCCCTAAGTGTGTATGCTTGCGTGTGTGCTTGAGATGTATTGTGGTCTGTTTGTAGTGGGACCGTGCTCCAACGTCATCATTCAAAGTACCACCTCACTTGAATGCTACAGCACAGATACCGTAATATCCACCCCAGACCATTTTATATTCCACCTAGGTTGTTGGAGTTTAATTTTATAGAAATTAGATAAACATTAAAAAATACAGGTAAATGAGTCGTATTTATGGTTTCGCCCACAATGAAATTAAGTTAGGAACACCGGTTAATCACCTGTACAGAAGAAAAACACATGTAAATGATGTGTTCGAAAATACGCGAGTAAATATAATGATAATTATATAATACAATGACAATCTTATACCTTGAAAATACCTTGTATTTTGATGTCATGACAATTGAATACATTGAAACGGTCCCATAACTCAAAACATACCACAGCATATATTGCAATGTAAACACCAAACAAAGAACTGTACGCAACATGTATTGAAAACATCACAAGATACGATAAAACAAAAAACCGCCAATGGCGTTATAGCCGACTTGTTACAGTACATTTTCATGTAAAACATCTGATGTGATAAGCATCCTTTTATAAGCCATGCAAGTTTAGTTGATGTAGGACAAGTAGTTATTTGGTAAGTGACCTAAACCATTCTTCTTTACCAAAGTGCAGATGGGGCCTGACCTCAACCAAACTTTTTAACCTGGTCAGTCAAGCGAAAAATGCAGGTCAGAAGCAGCATCGGAAGCATCGCATGTGATTAGCATCGTTAGATACATAAGCCATAAAAGTTTAGTTGATGTGCGATAATTAATAACTTGGAAAGTGAGCTTAACCATTCTTCTTAACCTTAGTGCAGACAGACGGGAGGACAGACAGACAGACAGACGGGAATCGCCAATATATAAGCACTGATTGTGTTGCAATTCGGACATAAACACATTCTTTAACGAAGCGATTGTTTTGCATAATTAACACATTCGAGGAGATTTGAAGAATCCACTTCATATATTACCTTGCATGGATGTTGTAATAGAGTAGTGAGGGGTTAACTCTACAGCATCACAACATCAGATCAATCTGTGCTTATTTTGCCGAATTGTTTATCATGAATCATTATTTTATGGTACGTTATTATCAAATGTATGATTTGTAGTGGACAGTTTAAAGCACGGAGTTAAATTCTGTATAAGCCTGTGGTCTATTGGTTTCTTGAAAACCTTTGAAAGGTTTATACGCGTTTGTAAGGCCTAAACATTAAAATCAAACATTTTAAATAATGTCTTAGAATTCGATTTTATCGTTTTAGATATACCGGCGTAAGGATGTTAAAAAAGGCCAGCGCTGTGCATTGTTTTGGCGCTTCACATTAAAAATTACCCAATCGGTAAATATGTATGCTTACATCATCGATTGCAACATTTGTTTCTTGTGCTTTGTTTTGTTTTTTATTATTCGTATTTCGAAAATTTCTTTAAAACGTATATTATGCTGTAATTTATGTAAACAGTAGTTTGAGAAAATTAGTGAAATATTTGATGATTAGTAAGAATAGCTACAACATAGTTAAACTGGGTATTACTCTTTATGGACGGCCTGGGACACTCAGTCTTTGTATTGGAATGTGGTACGGACTCCTGCGTGTACTCTTGCGTGTAATGGGGGTTTGTTTCGGGTACTCTTCTTTCCTCCCAAATATAGCAAGACCTCCTTCACGCTTCTTTCAAGAGTGATTTATGTAAATTAACACTGACTTGTTCCATACTTGTTGTTAAATATGTAATGTTTTACTTATACAAAACAGGAATGTCTTCATTTCTTCCGCCTTCCTAACCTCCACATTTGCCGTTGAGCAGACATCTTTATGCTGATGGATTAATGATAGAGTAGCTTTAGCGAATTTGATAAAAATGGATGTTATTGGAGTAGATTTGTGGTTCCTTTAAACATTGAACTAACCAAAACATGCTAAATTTTTGCCTTTTTGTGAGTATTAAGATCAGAAAAAAACCCAGAGGAAAACAAAGCCAGTTTTGTCATAGCTGAGAATTTGCGACGTTATCGTTTTGTTTCTCGTAACGTAACAAAGGGTGTAATGCCACTGTATCTGTATATTTCCAGGGTTGGAGGAGTGCTCTTCGGATTTTATGTGTAGGCAATACAGTTTTAAAAGTTTTTAAGTCAGTTGTTTTGACTAGATCTTTTTCACTGTATTATATTTTTTACCTAATGTGTTAAAAATACATAAAATAATAAACAAAAACGACTCATCGTTAGGCTGATACATATCCTCTTATTTTAACAAGAGAGCGGCCAATTTTACCGTTACACAATTGCGCGATCCATTTCCTGTTTTTATCAGAGGCTGTTTTATCATCCAAAAGATCGCTTATATAGAGCCTTCGATTTCTTCATGGCATATTCCAGGGGTGTAAAAAGATACGTAGCAGAGCGTAAACCCTGGAATTCCTAGAATGCTGGTGTTAATGATACGTCAAGTAAAAAGTCCATGTCAACTGTTTCAGGAGGAATAAGCGTTTGACAAAAAAAGACGAATGTGACCTGAAAGGAGATAAATATATTGTAACAACTGTTTATGTTGATATTTTTCTCGAAAACCATACCCTTGAGCATTTGTCAGGATTTTTTCCGAAAAATAGAAGAGTTGTAGCACTGATGCAGTAGAATATTGTCACTTCTCGCGTTGAAAGAAAGACCTGAGTAAGCTTCCAATAACGACAGCAGCTCCTCCTATTAGAACCGTACCGAGAGCGAGATCAGCCTGAAACAAAGTAAAACAAAATTTGTACATAGCTTCTACCTGTTCTTATATAATTTCTTGGTTATGACGGACAATCTTACAACACTGGGCTTACACAGATGTAAGTTGATAAAGACTATGGACATGTTTAATGGTCGCCATCATGCTCTTATTTGGAGATATGTTATTTCTTTGTGTGATACGAAGGTCGATGCTTTTGATTAAGCTCATCAATTTGCCTGGTGGTTTTGTTGTCACTACCAGATTTCTCAAGGTGAGTACGTGTCATTATTTGGGGTGACCTATAATTACATGTCGATGTCGTCGATGAAGCGAAAGACGCTTGGGCTTTCGGAACACCTGGTCTTGTTCTGCTTGTGTGTTTTTTAATGTGTTTTCATGTAAATATTTCATTTGTTCATATTTTGCCCTAGTCTTAATCGACTTTGAGTTAAAAATATGGTCTTTGTTTTTTATATATGAATATTTACAGCCTTATGGTTCTTGAGAAATAATTGTTTCAAGGTGGGTTTATGGACGACAGATGGCATCAGACTGCAACATCTCAATGACCCTTCGGGCCAGGTCAGCTTAAACCCTATCCTTTTCCCTTGCAGTAAATTCAAACGTTTTTCAAACGCTGAACTCATTAATACGCTCATTGGTCAATCTGACTTCTGCCTTGCCACTTTACTTATTTTTTTCATCTACAACAGCGGCGTTTGCTGTTGAATAGCAAAGGTTGTGATGAAAGAGGTTATATAACATAACATTACAATAACATGTGTTACAATTTTACCTGGTCAGACCATTTTGCGCCGTATCGAAGGTAGGAGGCGAAATGTTCGCAGTTGTTCGAAAAAATATCGTAGTCTGCCTCACTTCTCAAAGCCAATGCTGTTCTCACGATTTCGTCGCTAGGGCGTGGATAAATACCAGCAGCGCTGTAAAAACAAGGGATATATATACACAATGTAGACCATCAGTGGTACACCTGTACACCGATGCAATAAAGACACCAATTAAAGATCACTCGTGTCGAACAACGTACGTTGTAAAATCCTTTACTAAACAGTAAGTACTATGGGTGACAGAAACTGGTGTGAAAAACAATACGCAAAAATGTTGTGATCAAAGTTATTTACATCCAATTATTAAACTTTTGAATGAAAAATACATTATGATGAAAAATAATTTTAAATATTTTTAAATTTGTTTTTTCCAAAACTTATCACTAAAGACGGTAATGAACTTGAGCTAGTTTTCACAGGATATTTTTGATTAAGAAAAACAATTTGTATGGTTTGCCAAAACCCACTACAAAAATGCCACCTTATACGTAAAGCTATCTAGAACTAAGAAAAGAATTTACATTTAAAACATAACTATTTTTTAGTGGAAGTAGTATGATATCCGGAATCCGGAATGTTGTTTATGCAATAGTCTGTGCGAATTGTTCTGAATTCTATACTTCTATTCTATACCCCCCCCCCCCCCTTCCCTCTGCAGTACACCTTAGCTGTAAGGTAATAATGGAATATTTGGTCAGGTATTACACGAAGAACGATCTCCCTTCTCAACAATCTACCCTAAAATCAGCCAAGCGTGACGATGTCATTGTGCGACTTTGTTAGCTTCTTTAGTCCAAATCACGCGGCGTGATCAAGCCAAGCCGGAGTTTTTCAAACAAATAATCTCAACGGATACTCTAGGTTCAGCCACATTAATTTTCCACGTTGGCATTTTAATTTCGCCATTGACTGAGACGCCACGCTTAACGGTTCCGGGCTACTGGGTTAGTTTCCGACCGTCCCAGGAGCGGTCCTCCGCGTGTAACGACCGCACGACAAGACAGGGCGATTCGATTGTCGCACTTGCGCAACAGATTCAAGACTGCTGTAGAGACTGCGTCGCATACCTTAGGTACTCATGGCAGACCCATTAGTCCTCAAACTGCCAGGAACCGCTTGCGTGCCGAGAGAATCATTGCGCGCCGACCTTATGTCGGGCCACCTCTGACACCACGGAGGCGGCAAGTGCGTCTTGACTGGATGCGCAGACATGGCCCGAATAGGTTTGGGATGCGTCGATGGAGGCGTTTGATGTTCACCGACGAGTCTAGATTCTGTCTGTATCGCTCAGACGGAAGACAAAGGGTATATCGCAGACGCGGTGAGCGTTTCGCCGACGCATGCATGGTTGAACGCGATTTATTCGGTGGGGATTCTGTAATGGTTTGGGGAGGCATCTCCCATGTAGTAAAGTCCCCCTTAGTGGTCCTGGATCAAAACCTCAATGCCGTTCGATACAGAGACCAGATCCTCAAACCACATGTCCTTCCACTTCTCAGACGTCATAACCTAATTTTCCAGCAAGACAATGCTCGACCGCATGTTGCCAGAGTCTGTCGTGATTTTCTCACGGCAAACAACGTTCAGCCTCTGGAATCGCCCCCATATAGCCCCGACATGTCTCCCATTGAGCATATGTGGGATGAGCTGGACAGGCGTATTAGGAAACGTCAAAACCCCCCAACTAACCGCGCCCAGTTGATCGCAGCATTAACACAAGAATGGAACAACATTCCCTTAAGGCGAATAAATGTTCTCATGAATTCAATGCATAGAAGAATCCGTGCAGGGATTCGTGCAAAAGGTGCCCACACCAGGTACTATAGTGTCATTTTGTTTTTCGCGGGTATCCCTCTTTGAGTAATTACTGATGACACGAGTGACGTCACACAAACTTTTCTTCTACAGTATTGTAAAGAGTAGACTTGTCCCTTCATATTGATATAAAATTTTGTACAAATTTCCCAAAATTTCATAGGCTATTGATTGCATAATTTAATTGTGCGTTTCTTCTTTTGGTCAGTATATATTGGACGAATTTGTTTTGAAAATACGACAACATATGGCAATTCAGAGACGACAGGGGAAAAGTTACCTTTTTATATTTTGAATTAAAACTAAACGTTATAACGTTCTTTTACAAAATGATAAAATTTCATGTAATTCCTGAAATAGATGAAATAGAAGGGCGTTCCATTGTAAGTCGAGTAATTGTTAACATAATTGAAATTTTGCTGTAAACAGTTAAGATTGACGTGTCAAAATGGCTTAAAATTGACGGCCGTGTTTAATCGATCACAACACCTGAATTTGTTTAAAGCCATATATGAAATGGATAGCCACTTTAAAAAGAGACCTCTGATTTTACATTTTTTGCAACGGAATAATGTACAAGTAATAGAAGCAAACTACTTTGGTTTCCCCTTTCATCAAAACGTTGATTAAAATTAGGCTAGTGTAACAACTAAGGTATTTGAGGGGAAAATATTGCTGTACTGGCAAGCTAGCTTTTCCAGTGATGCGGTTTAAGCCGGGTATTCAATTAATATCTGAATCGCTATGTATGCCGAAACTGGAAAGCACACTTCTATATTGGAATTGGGACTATATAAGAGATCATGTAGCATAAACATTTCGGGGACGCTTAAGCAACATTGCGGTTAAAGTTGTAGTTTTCAAAACATTCATATCTTGTTTGGTACGTCTTGGACTTGTGTGCAAAATACCAACACACAATTTATATGTCTTATAAACCAGGCAAGAATGTGTCTGTAACGCATTCGTATATTCCTTATCAAAGATTCATTGATTGACGTTGTTGTAATGTTTGATTTATATTGATTTTGCATTTCATTAACATACAAACCTCAGAATGTGGTCTTTGCCGTTGTTCCGTTTTGCCATACACCCTTCAGCAACTTTCAAAAAATGGTCAATCTTAACACAGGCTTTGTCAAGCAGAACGCCAGAAACGTTGAAGAATGACCCACTGGCAAAAGATCCACTGGCGCCTGCATTGGTCGCTTCATCCCCCGTCAGATGGACAATGTGTTCATCACCTGAAAGGGTTTATAATATATAATGTTTTCGTCATTTTTTCGTTTTCTGAGCTGGGCTGCTTTTCCATTTATAATTTTTTAAAGGAAAACTGTAAAACGCCTATCCACGGCGCTACCAGTTATACATGTATTTGTTGTGCAATACTTTTCTGCATCATAAATTGGAATAATTGGG